TAAAAATAAAAAAAAATAAAACTAAAAAAAAAAAAAAAAAAGAATGGCCAAGATCAAAAACAATGATGACAACTTATACTCGGGAGATTGTGGGGACAAGAGCCTGTCCTGGAACTAGCTCTTGTAGACCAGAGGCATAAAAGCAAAATTGGTAATGATTATAATCATGAATTATTAGTTTTATAAAATTGGTAAACACTGGAAAACTCATGTACAACATCAGCATAGGTCTATTCCCATAGTGTTACACTTGGAATTTGCTTCAAGATGAATATTCTAATTAAAAATTTTCAGTACCAAATATCCCTTGTACTGTTTCCCCCATCCAATCTTTTAGACTCATTAACAATTATATTTTCATATCCATTCAATATTTAGAACAATTAGTCCATAATTATGAATAATTTTATTGAAGTTCATTTATCACTATTTTCTTTGAAAATCACCATGTGTTTTTCCATAAAAACAATACAGTTATGACAACCTCAAAGTAGCCTCCATCGCTCTAGTACCTGGGACAACAGTTTACTAGTATTATATTCCAAGGCTCTGGATCCAAATTCTACTTAGAAGTTTTCTTTAGTATCTCTGAATGTTAAGCATCTCAGGTTTTAATTTATATAGTATGTTTGAAACAGTAGGAATAATAGTGAAAAATGAAAGAGAAATGGACTAAAAGGAGTTTTATATTTTCAAATGTTTTTCTTTTATTTTAGAGATTATGACTACATCATTTGCTCTTCCTTTTCCTCCTTCAAATTCTCCCACATTTCTCCTTTATCTCTTTAAATCGATGATCTATTTTCACTAACTGTTGTTACATGAATATATGCATATGTATATACATACATATTCCTCATTATAACCTAATCAGTCTATAGAATACTATTTGTAGCTACATGTTTTCAAGGCTGACCATCTGGTATTAGATAACCAAGTTGTAGGCTATTTCCGGGAATAGTGATTTGTCACGCTCAGCTTCCTTAGTTCTTTGTGTAGGGTTGAGAGCTTATGGTATTTCCCCTGCCCACTCTGGCATGTTTACTGCTGTTGTCCTTGTCCAGCTAATGTTTAGGCAGTTGTGTTGATGAGACTTCATGGGTGTAGCTTCTGGCATTATTAAGGAGACACAGAAGAGACTTAATTTTTAATAGTGGTTAATACAGGCCATACTTCCCAAGGGGTGGGGAACCCTTGAAGGAAGGCTGAAAAGTAAGCTGTGTAAATCTGCTGGGTAGACTTCTTGGTAAAAGAAAAATCAGTTTAACACAAGGGTTCTGACTATGAGCTTGTCTGTACATGTGGTCAAGCCAAAATGGCAGCGAGAATATTCAGCCCTCAGATAAGCCCTTTACTGCGTGGTAAACCTCTGTAAGGTCTTTTGATTTTATGCTGTATAAAATAAAAAGCTACTGCAAGCAGGACGATCAGGGAAGAGATAGTGTTAATTTAAACCAGGATAACAAGAGTGGAGCTGGTGAGAAATTAGCTGGTAAGAGATTAAGATTTCTAGATGGACTGAAAATGTGCCACTGGGAAAGGTAGTGTGTGTAGCCTGTTGTGTAGAAAGAAAGAACACTACAATCAAGATTCTATTCTTGGGAGATAGAATCTAAAATATTGCTATAAATCTGTAACTTTGCAGCTCACACAGTAGATACAGAAAGAAAAAAAAGCCATGGCAGTTTCTAAAAAGGCAAAACAAGGAACCTCAAACATTTGCTCTTCCTAAGCAGGAGAAAATTGTCTAATCATCATTTTCAGAACTCTAAAACGTAAGCAAAGGGAAAAAATTATTCCAGCAAAGCCATTGGATTTTGCGTTGCCTGGAAAGTCTCATCCCTCAGCCCTTCAATAAACCTGAAATCAACAGCCTACATGTGCAGGACAACTAACCTGGCTGCAATCTAGGGGACAAAGCCAGGTTAAAGCTCCTGCAGAGCCTCATTAGAGAGAATCAGATTCCTTTGCTGATTCCCAACTCTACCTACAAGGATACCTAGTGTAAAAGGCCTTTTCCATTAAGCATTTGTTGAAAACACATCTAGGCTGTTATTTAGCTTTAAGCCTATCGAGGGTAAAGGATAAAACAAGACAGAGTGTATACTAATCCCAAAGTCCTTATTAATGGGAAGTCTGGTGAATGAGAGATCCACAAAGCCTAGGAAACCTCAGAGCACTAACTCCTTTAGCGTACTACACAAACTGAAGTTTTTCTGCCTGCCCAGGAAAGACCAGAGAAGGCTCCAAAATGCTTGTTTATGGAATATCATGAAACTCTACATAAACAGGAAGTAAGGAATGACAGTGTCCACCACTGGTGAGTCTAGTAAAGGAAAAATAATCTGAAATACACCTGACCTGCCCCTTGGCAAAGAATGGCAGAATTACTAGGTCCAAGAATTGGAGAAACTTTTAATTCAATCATCAATCAGGTACCAAGGAGAGATTTCAGTGACTTATGGGATTAGTTCATCAAAGCTACCAGACAAACAAACTATTACAAACAACAACATGAAGTGCATGAGCAGAGACACAGAATAAAGACCGCCAGAGGCAATGGGAAGTGGTTTCTAATGAGCACAGGCTTTCATTTTGAACGGATGAAATTGCTCCAAATTAAATAGTGAAGATAGTACTGAAATCCACCGAATTGTACTGAATTTTACGTTATATAAGCTTTATCAATAATAAAAGTATAGGTGAAAAGGCATGCTTACAAATACACATGTACATATAAGTGTACATACATATATCATATCATCTTTTTCAAGCAATGACACCCCAAAACAGCCATCACTATTCACATCCAGATCTTGGTTTCTTACAATTTTGAGTAAAATAACAGTCTTTTGTAGAAATTGATAAGCTTAAGCTAAGCAAAGAAATACAAAATAAGCCTGGGACATATTTTTGAGCCAAAACAAAAGGCCATGTGTACAAAGTTAGATAATTTGCCAGAAGGATATAAAAGTCAGTTTGAAGGTATCCCACTGCCAATTTGGGGACAATTTAAGCACAAAATTAGTAACAGTAATGAAAGAAAATAATATATGATAGGAGGAATAAAAAAAGGATCCCAGTAAATTGAACCTAGTGGGTTATTTTAAAGGGGGAGTCACAAAATTAGGAAGGGTGGAATTAGAGGTGGATCTTAGAAATTAGGGAGAGGAGAAGAGAGTGGATACAGATAAAACACTCTGCATGCCATGGGGGACACATCATGCCTCCCACGCAATCACAGTTTGGAGAGATGGGGGGCAAATTTATGAAAAGCCAGGGGCTAAGCCAGCTCTACCATAACCAGAGTCAGGGACTCTTATCCCAGCTGCAAGGACAGTCGAAGGATATGCCACCTCGGTTTTCTAAGAAAGGACAGCTTAATGCAGATGAGATTAGTTTGAGGCCTGCTCAGTCGTTCCTAATGAATAAAAACCAGGTGCCAAAGCTTCAGCCCCAGATAACTATGATTCCTCCCAGTGCACAGCCACCACGCACTCAAACACCACCTCTGGGACAGACACCACAACTTGGTCTCAAAACTAATCCACCACTTATCCAGGAAAAGCCTGCCAAGACTAGCAAAAAGCCACCACCATCAAAGGAAGAACTACTTAAACAGACTGAAGCCGTTGTGACTGAATATCTGAATAGTGGAAATGCAAATGAGGCCGTCAATGGCATGAGAGAAATGAGAGCCCCGAAACACTTTCTTCCTGAGATGTTAAGCAAAGTGATCATCCTGTCACTAGATAGAAGTGATGAAGATAAAGAAAAAGCGAGCTCTTTGATCAGTTTACTCAAACAGGAAGGAATAGCCACAAGTGACAACTTCATGCAGGTAGAACATTGTACTGATTGTGTGATAGCTCTTTCCAGTTGTGGTTGGAAGCTAATAACTGTTTTGAATATTCTTCCCAAGGCTTTCCTGAACGTATTGGAGCAGTGCCCCAAACTAGAGGTTGACATCCCCTTGGTGAAATCTTATTTGGCACAGTTTGCAGCTCGTGCTATAATTTCAGAGTTGGTGAGCATTTCAGAACTAGCTCAACCACTGGAGAGTGGCACCCACTTCCCTCTCTTCTTACTTTGTCTTCAACAATTAGCTAAATTACAAGATCGAGAATGGCTAACTGAACTTTTTCAACAAAGCAAGGTCAATATGCAGAAAATGCTGCCAGGTAAGAGCTGACTGAGTTAATTAACAATAAGTGATTTTGTGTGCTGGGAAAGTGTTTGTAAAATGGTCTAGATAGGTAACCCTGGTAAAATGAGAAATGTCTTTGCAGAAATTGATCAGAATAAAGATCGAATGTTGGAGATTCTGGAAGGAAAGGGATTGAGTTTCTTATTCCCGCTCCTTAAATTGGAGAAGGAACTACTGAAGCAAATTAAGCTGGATCCATCCCCTCAAACTATATATAAATGGATTAAAGATAACATCTCTCCCAAACTTCATGTAGATAAAGGATTTGTGAACATCTTAATGACCAGCTTCTTACAGTACATTTCTAGTGAAGTAAGCCCACCTAGTGATGAAACAGATTCTTCCTCTGCTCCTTCCAAAGAACAGTTAGAGCAGGAGAAACAGCTGCTGCTCTCTTTCAAGCCAGTGATGCAGAAATTCCTTCATGACCATGTGGATCTACAGGTCAGTGCCCTGTATGCTCTGCAGGTGCACTGTTATAACAGCAGCTTCCCCAAAGGCATGTTACTTCGATTTTTTGTTCATTTCTATGACATGGAAATTATTGAGGAGGAAGCTTTCGTGGCTTGGAAGGAAGACATAACTCAAGAGTTTCCAGGAAAAGGCAAGGCTTTGTTCCAGGTAAATCAGTGGCTAACCTGGCTAGAAACTGCTGAAGAAGAAGAATCAGAGGAAGAAGCTGACTAAAGAACCAGCCAAAGCCTTAAATTGTGCAAAGCATACTATGATGTAACTGCATTTGACCTAACCACTGCGAAAATTCATTCCGCTGTAACGTTTTTCACAATATTTAAAGCAGAAGCACGTCAGTAAGGTTTCCTTCTGCATAAGGTTTTTGTAGTGTGATGTCTTAATCATAGTCTACCATCAAATACTTTAGGAGTATCCTTAATGTTTAGATAGAATATTAGCAGCATGCAATAATTACATCCTAAGTTCTCAAGCAGAGGCAGTCTATTGCAAAGATCTTCTTTGCTGCCAGTTACCATAGGCTGTTTTTAAGTTAGAAAACTGAATAGCAACACTGAATACTGTAGAGATGCACTTTGCTCAGTAATACTTGAGTTGTTGCAATATTTGATTATCCATTTGGTTGTTACAGAAAAATTAACTGTAATTGATGGTTGTTGCCGTAATAGTATATTGCCTGTATTTCTACCTCTAGTAATGGGCTTTATGTGCTAGATTTTAATATCCTTGAGCCTGGGCAAGTGCACAAGTCTTTTTAAAAGAAACATGGTTTACTTGCACAAAACTGATCAGTTTTGAGAGATCTTTAATGCCCTTGAAGTGGTTTTTGTGGGTGTGAAACAAATGGTGAGAATTTGAATTGGTCCCTCTTATTATAGTATTGAAATTAAGTCTACTTAATTTATCAAGTCATGTTCATGCCCTGATTTTATATACTTGTATCTATCAATAAACATTGTGATACTTGAAAAAAAAAAACACTCTGCATGCATGTATGAAATTATCAAATAATTAACAAAAATATTATCTTGAAAAAAGCAATCATTGAGCAAACATGGATATGACAATGAATAAATGAATGAATATATCAAAAATCTGATTCAAAATGGCAAACTTATTTAGTTACAAATTATCTCCATGAAATATCTACTATCTATAATGAATTTTGAAAATTATGCCCTGGCGATGCTGAAGCATGCGTGGGTAGCCTATATATGATGGTTCTGTTGAACTTGTCCATATTGGGGTTTCATGATCTAAGTTGATGAAGACGACTGACCAGGTCTCTTCCTCCTACTAGCTATAAGGAATAACTAAAAGGAATATGAATAAATATAATAATGAATATTCCTGGTAGAAAAAACTTACTTATATAATCAAAGTGAAGGTAACCAAGAATGAGAAAAGTAAAACTGTATAGGAACTAAGAGGAAGAAATAGGTACAGTCTATCTCTTCTGTATGATTCTTGTAAAAGATGCATAATTCAAATCTAACCATTAGATAAGACTGAACTCAGCAATCTAAAAAAATGACTGGCGGATAATCCTTAAAAACTTTAAGACCAAGAAAATGAAGGAAACAGTAAGAAAATATTCCAGACCTGATGAAATCCAGAAGTCATTAATTAAATAATGATAATTAAATAAAACATGATTTGAAGCTGACCCCTTTTCTAAAAAGGACATCCACTAACCTGACCATCAGTGAAACATGGGTGATGTCTGCTGCTTTGTAGCTTCAGTGCCTCAGTGCTATGTGACTGATTAGGAGCTGAGTTATGATCATGTGGGACAATGTCCATGCTTGTAAGAAAAGTATCTTACAGTTGGGGGGGGCAATGAGGTATCGTGCCAGCAAATTACAATAAAAATACTTCAGTTAAACAAAATTCTAACCATGCAACTTTCCTGTAAGTTTGAGACTATGTAATATATGTACATGTATAAGTAACTATATGTACATGTATACACTAATTCCACAGTATTTTATTTATCAAATGTCATTTGTCCTATATGCTGGTAACAAGAAGAGTATGAACATGAACTCTAAAAATAGACATGAAATACTCTGAACGAGGCTAGATGTACTCACAGATGTTCACTTACCAAGCCACTTTCTTATCTAACATAGCTGGCATAATTCCTAGATGTAGACTTCTTTTTATATAGATTTCATAGGAAGCCCTTGGCAATAATTTAGAACTATGCTGATTCCTTTAACAGTAAATGTAAAAACAAACAAACAAAAATCTTGGTTATCACATCCTTTTAAATGTACCCACAAGAGTAAACTGTTACATGATTATGCGAAATCGTTCATTGCATTCAGTTTCTGTTCTCAAACTCAAGACTTTGTAAAGTATATACTGCAGGAGAACACCATTCAGGAGCTCTATAAATGCAGGAAAGCTATGGCCTACAAGACTTTGGGAATATGAAGTACTTTGCAGAGGAATGCGTTGGTAGAAACAAGGAACCCTTTTAGGAGTTTGTGTTCATTGCAAGGTCACATGCTAGAAAGGTGCTGGAGGAAATATGATGGAGGTTAACTTCAGCCGAGGTCTCCATTTGATCTTCTCTTCTTTAAGTACACAGTAAACAGAGATTTCATCTAACCTCTCTTCTATACCATAGTATTACATTGTCTCTTCTTTGCCTAATGTCTCTTCTAGTATGCTCCACACCATTCCCTAATATATTTCTTAAACACTGAATCCTGTCTTACTTGACAGGTTTCTCACAGGATATGAAATGTACAATCTGTTTTATAGCCTCAAATATGTAAAGTTAACTTTATTGATAGGAGGTGATTATTACTTAGTGACTAAACACAAAATAGAACATCGTAGATAACATTTTGGTGCAAAAATAGGAAACAATGGAGAAAGACTATTCAAATTATCATCTACAATAAATCCAAAGAGTAATGCTTTGTTTTGTTTTAGTTTTTGTATTTTGAGAGAGTGCCATGGCATTTAGCAGGTGTGAAGTAGAATTCATTATGTAGAACAGACTGTGATTTAACTCAATCCTCCTACCTCAGCCTTCCAAAGGAAAGGATTATAGGCGTATATTACTATACCTGGCTTCACTGAAAAAAAATTTAAATTAATTTTATTGTAGACCTGGGAGGATGGCTCAGTTATTAAAGTACTTGCCTTTGTAACACAAGAACTTGAGTTGAGCTCCCTAGAGTCCATTCAAAAATCTCAGGCATGGTAGTACATGCTTGTAATCCCAAAGGAGGCAGACACAGGAATCCCTGGGGTCTGCTGGCAACCAATCTAGCTTAACTGATGACCTCCAATGAGAGACTCTGTTTTGAAGAAGGTGGATAGCATTCCTGAGTATGACACCAGATGTCCATGTGCACAATGTGTACACACAACTACACACACAAATATCCACATAAAATAGTAAGGTGATGATGGTTCAACAGGCTATTCGGATGAAAGAGTTTGGCTGCACAGAAACAACGCTATTTCAAGAAAAGCTCTTCTGATACCATGCACATGAAAAAAAAAAAAACATCTCAAATGTCTTCAGGCACTCTTGAGAACATTACAAATCACTCATTTTCTTTCTAGGACTCCAGTTTCACTAAGCTGACCTTTTTCTTGTTAGATCTCAAAACAAAATTTGTATTTAAAGTAAAATCACATCTTCTAAGTTGAATTTCTACTCACAGTAAGTGTACAGTGTTATTAACAGTGTAGTAGCTCTATAGTGATATTAACAGATACAACAAATAGGTTTTTTTATATTTATTTATTTATTTATTTATTTATTTATTTATTTATACAATATTCTGTCTGTGTATATGTCTGCAGGCCAGAAGAGGGCACCAGACCTCATTACAGATGGTTGTGAGCCACCATAAGGTTGCCGGGAATTGAACTCAGGACCTTTTTGGAAGAGCATGCAATGCTCTTAACCACTGAGCCATCTCTCCAGCCCCAACAAATAGTTTTTATCTGAGAAGTTAACCCTCAAAATCACACATATATACACAAATACATATTCTTTCTCTCTTTCATGCATAAGTGAAAACACAGAGATATTCCCAATTTATGGTCCTTGTATTATTTATATGCTGTCCTAGTTTGGTTTCTATAGCTTTGATAAACACTATGACCAGAAGCAACTTGGAGAGAAAGGGGTTTAGTTCACCTTACAGCTTACAGTCCTTCATCAGGGGAAGTCAGAACAGGAACCTCAAGGCAGGATCCAAAGCAGAGGCCACTAAGGAAAGCTTCTTATTGACTGGCTCCTCATGGCTTGCTTGGCTTGTTTCCTTACACCATCTAAGACCAAAATTCCAGGGACAGCATTGCCCTTGCAAGGCTTGCCCTTCTCCATCAATTAACAATCGAGAAAATGACCCCAAAGATTTGTCAGCAGGATGCTGATGGAGGCATTTTCTTATTTGAGGTTCCTCTTTCCATTTGCTTCTACCTTGTATTGACAAAACACTAACAAGGACATATCAAAAAGTGGGGATAGGGGTAGGGGAGAAAGAGAGACAGAGACTGTAAGTAATGATAGCTATTTAAAATTGTTGCTAAAGAGATATCTCAATGGTTATTATTGCTTGCTACTTTTCTAGAAGACCCAAGTCAAATTTTTGTAATTATTTTGTGAGTCAGGAAACTCACAAATACCTGTAACTTCATCTCCAAGAAGATCCAATGCCCTCATCTGGCTTCTAAGCATATCCACTCATAATTGTGTATATATGTAACAGATATATAAAATAAATAAAAACAAAATAAATATTAAAAAATTATTATTTTGATTTGCATTTCCCTGATGATTAAGGATATTGAGCAATTCCTTAAATGTCTTTGGGCGATTTGAGATTCTTCTGCTGAGAATTCTCTGCTTAGCACTGTAGCCCATTTTTTAGCTGGATTATTTTATATTTTGATATAAAGTTTTTTGAGTTCTTTATATGTTTTAGAGATCAGCCCTACATCAGATGTGGGCTTGGTAAAGATCAAAGTGACTCTGAGATACCATCTTACACACCTATCATAATGGCTGAGATAAAAAATACTGAGGACAACTAATGTTGGAGAGGATATAGAATCGGGAATATTCCTCCACTGCTGGTGGGAGTTCAAACTTCTACAGCCACTTTGGACATTGATATGGCAATTTCTCAGATAATTGGGATTCAATCTACCCCAAGACCCAGCAATACTACTTTTGGGCACATACTCAAAGGATACTCAAAGGATACTCAAAGGATCATACCATAAGAACACTGGCTCAACAATAATGTTCATAGCAACATTATTCGTAATAGCCAGAACCTGGAAACAACCTAGATGCCCC